ATAAAATCAATACATATCATGAGTGAGTGAGTTTGGTTTAACGCCGCTTTGAACAGTATTCCAGTTATATCACAGCGTGTCAGCTTAAAGGTGGAAGGATTGCCAGAAGTGATGCAGGTCCTAGATGTTTACCACTTTGGTGAGACCCACAAACATGAGTATGGTGCCAATCAGATTCCACCTCTCGCATCACTTGCGTTTGCTTCACACAAAATGGTGGCGCCGAGTCAGGACGATCTGATCAATAATCAAGATCTATATTGTGATAAAACGGGTCTTACATCGTGAAATGCATCAAATCACGTGAGCACCTTGATTAAAAACATGTAAAGATTTGGAAAATATCTGCTGACAACGAGTTGGTGGTGCACATGTTTTGCAAATCCTGCAATCGACCGAAATCTGCACGACAGTTTTCGAACCGGATTTCGATTTCGGTGCGCGATTTTGATTGGACTATGCATAGACTCGTTATTCCAGCCAAAATATAACTCCATAATACCAGCCTAGTTCGGCAAGGGTGGAAACTGGACTTTTATAGTCAGTTAACTCACTTGCCTTGGGAAGATGGTAGCGATGTGCATGCATGTGAGTGTGTGTGGCTGCTTGTATTAGCCCTGACTAATGTTGGTTTTAGAATGCTGGCACACTGAGATACCATGCTGCAGTTTAACATGGATACCCCACTCAGACACAGTATACTGACTCCAAGCCGACCAGTCCTTGTATATTCATCCTGAGAGCCATTCAACATGACAAGAACCATCTTTTGATATGGTGCTGCTGGGGTTAAAAATAAAAAAAATGGACAGAATTATTTTGTATAATAGGGCTAAAACAGTGAAATGTTTCTTGTTTTACAGATGAGACTTCCCTCATTGCACACTAAATATTTGATTGGTTATATATCTTTTCAATCTATAACTGTCAAATAAAAGCGACAAAACCATTTCCTTATTCATAAAAAATCTCTGCCAAAAGCAGAGTCGATTGTACGATTCCGACTTTACCATGAGCATATGTTTATGAATCACTATCAAATAATGTTAGTTTGATGTTTAAAGCCGCACTCAGCAATATTCCAGCTATATGACGGCATCTGTAAATAAGTCTGGACCAGACAATCAAGGGATTTACATCATGAACATCAATCCATTCAAGTGGGATATGATGACATGCATCAACCAAGTCAGTGACCCTGACCACCCGATCCCATTAGTTGCCACTTACGACAAGCATAACCGCCTTTTACAGCAAGCATGGGTTGCTGAAGACCTATTCTACCCCAGGTCCTCAAGGGTCCTATCAAAGTGATGATGCCAGGTGGTTGAATAGATGTCCGCGTAACATCTAAAACTCCATTTTGAGTATTTTTCTAGTGCTAGAGTATCTATTATATTCAGGAGTGATTTAATCATTATTGGCATTGAGAGATAAAACACTTTCCCCTGGGGTCGGCCCTCGGTTGCATCACTCGGATGCTGGTTTTAAGTTTCACCTTGGATGTGCTTCATCCTTCATATAAACTGGGGGGCACGGGTGGCCCAGTCCTCTAAGGCGCCGCAATTCGCTGTGCAGAGTTGCGTCCCTTGGGCACGCCAGAAACCTATGATTGTGGGTTCGAATCCCGGTTCGCCCCGATTATGTTTCTAGGTTGTCAGCACCATACCCCTGCTCGTGGGTTTCACCGAAGTGGTAAACGTCTGAAAGCTGCATCACTTCGGGCTTTTCCTCCCACATTAAGCTGACACGCCGTGATATAACTGGAATACTGTTAAAAGCAGTGTTAAACCCAACTCACTCACTCACTCACTCATATAAACTGTCTACACAAACTGTCTATATGGCCTGTCTTTATGAACTGTCTATATACAATGCCAAATACACTGTCTATGTGAACTGTCTATTGAGTGAACATCCATTTCTTGCTGAGAACATAGGATTTTATATTTCTAGCAAAGTCTTTGAAAGATTAATATTTCTAATTCTTTTCAATTTTTTAAGAAAATATGAACAATTAACATTTGTATTGAAACAGATTTAACAGAACATAACCATTTTTAGCAATATCATTTATGAATTTTTCATCAACCACAAGGAGATGTAGGAGTGAAAGCTTCAACTGCTGATAGAAATATCATCACTCAGTACTCTCCAGTTTCCAATAAATTTTCCTTTATTGGAACAAAATGTTTCCATATGCCAAACACATGTAATGTATTGCCAATAAAATATTTGAAACAGAAAAGATTATTATAATCTATGTATCTCAACTTTATGATGGAGTCAGCAAAATCATTATCATGTTGGCCAATAGTGCAAGAATTCTCTGGAAGGTGAGGTTTGTGTTTGTTCGTATTTGACAGTTATGGCAGTATCGATATCGATAAAAGATAATTTCAACACTCTCTTAACTGTTTTGATAGTTTGCTTGTTATTGAATGACGGATGCGGCGATATTCTGTGTGATGGCAGTCTGTAAATCCAGACAATTAATTGATTGACAACGTGAGCATTGATCTACACAATAGGGACACTCTGACATGCAATCAGGCAATTCTCCATGCCAGTCCACCTGATCCAGTTAATTGTCTCTTACGACAAGCACCGGTTGCTGTGGACCCATACTTGTACCCAGGGTCCCATGGGTGGACCGTCTTGATGCAACACACAATCAGGGGGCAGATGTCAAATTATACAAAAGGGGTCTATATATACATAGTTATAAATCTGTACCATCTGTCTATAATCTGTACTGTTATTGAGGGAGATAGAGGATAGATGTGTTAATTTATGATCTTGACACTTTCTGCTTTTGTCAATTGCCTCCATACAAATTTCATCTTTCAACGGTCGAATACAGATACATCCAGATCCTTTTGTCTTCTTAGAAAGGGTTTGTATTAAAGACCACCATCAAGCACCAATCCCGTTAGTCGTTTCTTACGCAATGGATTGTCACCTTTTTATCCCCCCGGCATATAATGCAGGGGGGATATAGCGATCAGCCATTCTGTCCGTCCGTCCGTCTGTCCGTCTGTCCGTCCGTCCGTAATCATTTCCTTTTCCGGGGCAGAATTCCAAAACCATTCAGTGTATTTGATCGAAACTTGGCAAATCTATCAGGCACATACTGAAGTGGTGCCTTTTGATATTTTGGGATTTTTCTAATTTTTATTATTTTAAATTTTTATGGAATGAAGTTGGACATAGACTCAATTGGGGATGGGGTTCGTTTCCGGGGCAGAATTTGAAAACCATTCAGTGTATTTGATCAAAACTTGGCAAATCTATCAGGCACATACTGAAGTGGTGCCTTTTGATATTTATTTTTTTTACGAATTTTTATTTTTTACAATTTTTATGTAAAGAAGCTGGACCTAGACTCCATTGGGGAACGGGTTCGTTTCTGGGCCAGAATTCAAAAACAATTCAGTGGGTAAACAATGTAAAGAACATTCAACTGTTGACTCATTTCATACAGAATTGCACATTTACTAGTGGTTACTTTACAGACAGCTGCCGGGGGGATATGTCATCTTTCTGATGACTCTTGTTACAGGAAGAATGGGTTGCTGAAGACCTATTCTACCCAGGATCTTCTCGGGTTTGGTAGTCAAGAGATGCATATACTCTCACAACTGTTGTGTTTTTATCACAGAGTAGCCCAATGATTAAATATACATCTGTCATGATACTTGTTAATACTTGTACCAGTGGGGGCACGGGTGGCCCAGTCGTCCAAGGCGACTGTGCAGAGTTGCGTCCCTTGGGCACGCCAGAAACCTATGATTGTGGGTTCGAATCCCGGTTTCTAGGTTTGTCGGCACCTACCCGTGCTCGTGGGTTTCACCGAAGTGGTTAACGTCTTAGACCTGCATCACTTCGGGCTTTCCTCCCACATTAAGCTGACACGCCGTGATATAACTGGAATATTGTTAAAAGCGGCGTTAAACCCAACTCACTCACTCACTCACTCACTTGTACCAGTACTGAGAACATATTGGTTCTGAAGCTTCATAACGTCAATTGTGTGATTGGCGTTGATGGATGACAAAGTAGTCAAAAATTTGTGGATAACAATTTCTGTGATGGTTGTTGCATGTCATCGTATCCAAATTACATACATTGATGCTCATGATGACAATCAGTGGATTGTCTGGTCCAGACTCGATTATTTACTAACCGCCGTCATATAGGTGGAATATTGCTGAGTGCTGCGTTATAAAACAAACAAACAAATCTTAACTACCACTGCAATATGATAATCATGATTTTGAAAAGAACTTCACCCATGAAGATTCCGGAGTAGAATAGGTCTTCAGCAACCCATGCTTGTCGTAAAAGGCGACTAACGTGATCGGGTGGTCAGGCTCGCTGACTTGGTTGATGCATGTCATCAATCCCAATTGCGTGGATCGATGCTCATGATATTAATCAATGGATTGTCTGTTCAAGACTCGATTTTTTACAGACCGCCGTCATATAGCTGGAATATTGCTGAGTGCAGCGTTAGACAACAAACCAACCAAACCAACCACTTTTTGAGGAAAAAAAACAAAACATTTTCATAATGTTTTCTCTCATCCCATGTCATTTTTACAAATGGAAATCATATGTTGTAAACAGGTCCATAGAAAATAACAATAATTACTCTTAATAGTCAGACAGTCATTTTGGGTTTAAAGGCGCATCAGGTGTGCTCCTGGGTTCCTTAATAAACTCAATTGTTGTGAAAGTGACATTTATTTATCACTCTGGAACCTAATGTTGATTAATAAGTGTACCTTGTACATCTATATTTATTTAATGAGAGCAAAGATTCATTTAACAGCTGAAAATTGTAAGGTTAAGATGGAGGTTCGTTAGGTGGAATACCGGTACCTAAATATTTGATCAGTTGCTAGGGAAATGCTCCTTGTCAGCCTAGTGATTGTCAATCACTGCCCTTAGGGAAAAAGAGAACAAAATAATTGAATTCAATACTTTTTTGTTGGCAGATTGGAACCAGAAAAGGAAGCAAGAAATTCTGTTTATCAAATGTGACAATGCACAGTGAAAGAGGCATAGTTTAAAAGGTAAAACGATGAAGAAAAAATTGTTATTAATTAAATCATGTTATGTGGTTTATTTTCAGACGGACGATATATCTAGTAATATGAAAGAGTTGGGTGGTACTTAACTTCTTTTAAATAGTAATATTTAAACATTTGATTATTACCATCAACATCATGACATTTTCATTATCACTTTCATCCCCATCATAATCATTGTTATCATTGAAATGCCTGTTATTATTTCAGTCATTCTTATTGTAATGACTCTCCTCCTTATCAACTTTTTCATCAATATAGGGACCACCTCCGTGGTCTAGTGGTAGAGCGTCCGCCCAGAGAGCGGAAGGTCCGGGGTTTGATCCCCGGCCGCGTCATACCAAAAGACGTTAAAAGATGGTACTTGTTGTTACCCTGTCTGGCGCTCGGCATTAAGGGGCTAAAAACAAGGACTGGTCGGCTCGGAGTCAGTATACTGTGTCTGAGTAGGGTATTCATGTTAAACTGCGGTGTGGAATCTCAGTGGGCTAGCACTATAAATCGGCATCGGTCCGGACTAGTACAAGCAGCCACACACACACATGTGCATGCACGTCGCTATATAAATGCAATAATCTTAGACGCGACATTAAACCCAATTTCACCTCACCTCATCAATATATGTTTTTACATCTGATGACATTTTGTATGGACGTTGCCATGATAACATGTTGATTTAATTGTTTGTAAAGGTATTCTCTTGGGTGAACCCCCCAAACTGATGTTACAAATGATCCAAGTGGATCCACCATTCTTAAAATCCTGGGTCCGCTTCTGATTGTAATCATTTTTCACATTATCATTGTTAGGGAGGAAGTGAGGTTTTACGCCGCTTTTAGCAATATTTCAGCAATATCACGGCGGGGGACACCAGAAATGGGCTTCACACATTGTACCCTTGTCAGGAATCGAACCCTGGTCTTCAGAGTGACAAGCAAACGCTTTAACCACTAGGCTACCCGACCGCCCCTTATCATTGTTAACCATCATCACCATCCTCATCATTTAAATCATCAAGGAATACACATCACTTGGAATCTTTTATGTGCCATGTAAGAAAACCGCCTCCATGGTCTAGTTGTAGCACGTCCGCCTGGAGAGCAGAAGGTCCAGGGTTTGATCCGCGGCTGCGTCATACCGAAAGACGTTAAAAGATGGTACTTGTTGTTACCCTGCCTGACACTCGGCATTAAGGGGCTAAAACAAGGACTGGTCGGCTCAGAGTCTGTATATTGTGTCTGAGTGGGGAATTCATGTTAAACTGCGGTGTGGAATCTCAGTGTGCTAGCACTAAAAAATTGGCATCTGTCTGGACTAGTACAAGCAACCACACACTAACGTGCATGCATGTCTCTATGTATGAGTGCAATAATCGCAATGTTAAACCCCATAACGCCTCACCTCACCTCACCTCACCTCCACTGTAAGTGAGTGAGTGACTGAGTCTGGTTTAACGACACTTTTAACAGTATTCGAGTTATATCACAGCGTGTCAGATTAATGTCGGAGGAACAGACATTTACCACTTCGGTGAAACCAACGAGCACAGGAATAGTGCTCACAAACCTAGAAACATAATTTGGGCGGACCGGGATTCGAACCCACGATCATAGGTTTCTGACGTATCCAAGCGACGCAGCTCTGCACAGCAAATCGCGGCTCCTTAGATGCCTGGGCCACCCGTGCCTCCCTCCATCTAACAGTCCACTGTAATGATGGTCACACTGTGAGCCCTGGCAGATTCTTTGTACCTGATCTGATGGTGGACATGCTGATGGTGTAGATGCTGATGGTGTAGATGCTGATGGTGTAGATGCTGATGGTGTAGATGCTGATGGTGGAGATGCTGATGGTGTAGATGCTGATGGTGTAGATGCTGATGGTGTAGATGCTGATGGTGTAGATGCTGATTTTGGAGATGCTGATGGTGGAGATGCTGATGGCATTAACCACTGATGTTCTTGGACCTAACTCAATTGCTGACAGGCCATAACAATTCAGCTGGAATATTTTGTGTCGTAAAAAAACAACACTCATTCACTCATCACTGTCATTATTGCTGTGGTGAGATTGTTTTGTTTTCATGACACAAATTATCAGAGAACTAGGTCAGTACAGCCTTTGATCTTATGTTCATCTTAGCCTTTGGCATAACCATGAAGAGTTGTGTCCCCTGGGCAACAGCCTTCCTCATCAGCCAAGATAGACACCTCGGGGACAACTAGGTACCAGTGCAGGGGGGCATCAGCACAAATCTTTACCGTTTTCGACGTTATAAGCGCCCCTCTCTAATAAGCACCCACCGCGATATTTGCTAATATATTGGCTAGTGAACAACAGTATATGCACTCGTGTGTTATATGCACCCTTAATTGTGGGCAATTAAATTCTTGAAAATATATTTGTCGTGTATAATACGCAGACTTTTCTTTTGTATCATTTCGGGCTGTCAGCATAAACCATGAAATTTACAATCTTTCAACTCTGTTTTTTTTTCACCAAAATTATATTATAATAAGAGTCCCCTACTTCTAATTTTGAGAGCTCCCTGGGTGCTTATTACATTGAATACGGTAGTTTCATTTTTTGCCCAATAATAACTATACCAGCAACAAACGACTTATTGTGCTGGTATGATTATTACTATTACTGTGTGTGTGTGTGTGTGTGTGTGTGTGTGTGTGTGTGTGTGTGTGTGTGTGTGTGTGTGTGTGCCTGCCTGTTTGTTTGCATGTGTGTGTGTCTGTTTGTGTGTGTGAGTGAGTGTGTGTGTCCCTGCCAGCCTGTGTGGGTGTGGGTGTGAGTGGGTGTGTTTGAGTGTGAGTGTTTGTGAGTGTGCCTGTTTGTGTATGAGTGTGAGTGGGTGTGTTTTAGTTTGAGTGCGAGGGTTCCTGTTTGTGTGTGAGTATATGAGTTTGAGTTAGTGTGTGTGTGTGTGAGAGTGTGTTTGTGTGCCTGCCTGTTTGTGAGTGTGTGTGTGAGTATGTGAGAATGTGTTTTAGTGTGAGTGTTAGTGTGTGAGTGTGAGTGTGAGTGTGCCTGTTTGTGTGTGAGTGTGTGTTTTCGTTCGAGTGAGTTTGAGTGTGCCTGTTTGTGTGAGAGTGCCTGTGTGTGTGCCTGTGTGCGAGCGTGCGTGCGTGCGTGCGTGCGTGTGCAACAACAACTGTATGTCTTAAACTGCTCACATCAAAAACTATTCTGTCTCAAACAAACATCCACCCAAATAGTACCTGGTCTGTCCGTTGCTGAAACTGCTGCCCTGGATGGTGTAGAGAACATCAAAACTACAAACAGCAAACTGTTACCTCAGATTAAATAGTATAAGAATCTTCACCAAACTCTAAAAATGTCATATCCATTTCTTGCCCACTTTTGTCTGATATATGATCAGATAAGTTCATCAGGCCATGCCAGGACCTGCTTTGTAGGCTTTGGAGGGAGGTGTAATTATGTATTGATATTAGTGATATATTTCACACAATATAGCATACACAAAACAAGATTACCAGTTCAGCAATCAATAATCCCATAACACGTACTGTTGACTTTCTTGCACAGCCATGTTGAAAGTTGTATTGCATAACACAAACAGCACGTTCTTCATCTCGACATTAAATGGAGTCAGGATGAGAAAAACATATTTGTAATATTCCAACAATTCGTTTTATTTACCACAGATCCCCAGTACCCACTTCCATGCCAAGGGGTTGTTTTGAATGAACGGCAAAGGTCAAGGACCTTCCTCTGGGGATACAGTGTGTCCAATCGGCCTCTCCGCGTTCTCACAATGGAAGTCACGAGCCCGAAGGCATGTGAGAGTTTTTTCAGCCTTACATCAGTTGCCGGCAGCCGGACCCAGCTGGTCAAGGGGATTGAGGAAGAGAGCACTACTAGAAAATCTTCATCTGAAGACGTCCCTCTCAAAGAGATGAAGGTAAAACTCAGATTCTACTTGTTTCATTTTCTTGTGCAATTAATATAAAATTCAAATGAGTAGAGGATGTGAAACTTATTTTTCAATATCTTCAATGTGAAAATGTCTTAACTTAATAAGGTTGAAAATGGAAGTAGTTCTTAGGGTTTTTCTCCAAGGTCGTTGATGGTGTGGACTTCTTGTGAGAGCTTTAGAGATTTTGGAGAAATTGTGAAAATTATTGTAGCACAAGGTCTTGATATTTGCTTGAGAAAACACATGTGCCATTGTGGCTAGATCTAGTAAGGTAAGAATATTCCTCCATATTAATCTTTCCACCAAGACTTTTGTGAATACTGTTGTCATATAAAATATTTGCTCGTTGCTCATGCTATCAACTCTTAGTTTGACTTGTACAGATTTGTTGTCCGTCATAATGTAAATTGTTGAAAGCAAACAACATTCATCCAGAATCAAAAGACAGCTAACTTACAGGGGGGACAAACCAGTGATTGACAGCATGAGCAGCAAGTTATAATTTTTAAGTGTTGCACAATGACAGCTAGTCAAAACTACACATAGGTCATACATTGAGGTGGTTCATCTAAAGTCTTCATACTGACTGGTTATTTCAATTCATAAACAAAAGTGACAAAACCCGTCGTATGACCATATGAGTTCTCTGCTAAATGTCGAGTTCTTTGTACAATTCCATCATATCTTTAGCATGTAGGGCTGGGACGAGTCCAAATTTACTACCCGGGTACCCACACCCCTATTACCCGACCCTACCCGGGTACCCGCTGTTGGTGTCAAGAGATAGGTTCAAAATGTCCGATTGGGAATAGTTTGACAGTAGCCATGGCAGAATATATTTAGATACACGTTTAAAACTATGTGGTCATGCATACACTGAAGTTGACTGACGTTTTAGCTTTGTTCAAACACACATAAGTCAGGAGGAACGTGTTCATAGTCATGAAGAAATGCGAACATTTGAGACTTAAAATTGTTGTGTAACCATGTAGTTATATGTGAATTTTTGTGATGAAACAATATATCACATGACTAACCACGGGTCCGGGTAGTCCTGTGGGTACCCGGGTCCTACTCAGTACCCACCCGACCCGGGTACCCGAGTTACCCGTCCCAGCCCTATTAGCATGTGTTTATGAATCACATCACTTAGTGATGATACCAGGTGGTCGCAAGAAGGTGAGCGTATCCTGCTGCACCGGTGGCTCCGGGGTAGAATAGGTCTTCAGCAACCCATGCTTGCTGTAAAACGTGACTATGCTTGTCGTAGAAGGCGACTAAAGGGATCGGGTGGTCAGGCTCACTGACTTGGTTGATGTATGTCATCGATCCCAATTGCGTGGATCGTTGCTCATGATATCAATCACTATAGATTGTCTGGTCCAGACTCGATTATTTACAGACCGCCGTCATATAGCTGGAATATTGCTGAGTTCGGTGTTAAACAACCAACGAACCACCCAACCAGCCTGAACAAACACGGGTACATATGGCACAATCAAGTCAAAGAAGGGAATTACATCAGACGCCATTTTGGTCACTGATGCGTCAGATTTGGAAACGTTGACCATAAAACTTTTTGAAATCTTGACTGATGCCTTGAATGTTGTAACCTTGATCAAACATCTTTCGAGACAGAGTTGTTTTTTCTAAATCTTTGTAGAGAGACCCAACTTGATTGTACCTCAACTGTTTTGAAATGTAGACATCAAAGGTAGGGGTTGCTGGAATATTGCTTGACAAAAAGGGAAAGTTGACTTTTGGACAATTGAAGTCGTCCATCTTGTCATACAGTCTTGTGGATATTTGTTTGTCACTCTGAATCTTCATGCATAGATTTAAATAACAAACAGATGGAGGTGTCACTGGTCTCTTTTACTTCTAGTTCTAGGATGCGAAATCAGTGGAGGGAATTGGCTACTTGACAATTATTGTTTGTTTGTTTGTTGTTTGTTGCCTCACTCAGCAATATTCCAGCTATATGACAGCGATCTGTTAATATTAGTGTCTGGACCAGACAATCCAGTGATTGACATCATGAGCATCGATCTATGCAATTTGGATACGATGACACACATCAACAAAGTCAGCAAGACTGACCACCCCATCCCGATAGTCGCTTCTTACGACAAGCATAGTCACTTTTTACAGCAGCCATGGGTTGCTGAAGATCTATTCTACCCCAGATCTTCATGCATTGAACAATATTAGATCATAGAAAAATATCATTAAGTTAAACTTCTTGGACAAGTCACCATGTTTTGATTTTGCTAATCTGAACAGAAATTCTGATTCTTAAAAGATGCTGCAGGAATAATCTTCAGTGGAACTGCTGTAGAAATTCTGCAAACTGCTGCATGTGTTTCTTGTTCATACAGGAATATTGCAATGTTTTGTTCCAAATGAACATGTTTCAGTATAGGGCTGGGACGGGTAATTTGGGTACTCGGGTCGGGTGGTTCCTGAGTAGGACCCGGGTACCCACAGGACTACCCAGACCCGTGGTTAGTCACATGATATATTGTTTAATGGTAACAATTATCTACAACTTCAACTGTTACACTATAAGTGACAAGTGTTCAAATTTATTTCTGACTATACATCAATTCCTTCTGACTTTATATGTTTGAATAGAGATAAAACTTCAGTCAACTTCAATGTATGCATGACCAGATCGTTTTCTATGAGTATCTAGATACACCTAGGGCTACGGTCAAACTATTCCCAACAGAATATTTGTACCTATCTCTTGAGACCTACAGCGGGTACCCAGTTAGGGTCAGGTCATAGGGGGGTGGGTAACCGGGTTGTAACTTTGGACTTGTCCCAGCCCTATTTCAGTATATCTAAGACTATGCAACAATTGCAATCTCACTAAATCAGATCTTAGTGCGCACTACTGCAACACAAAGTTCTGAGGACATCGCATTACAAGACACGCCAGAACGACCTTTCGTGGACTTTGACCGACAGCCCATAACTATTGTTCTGAATACCTCGAGATTGCATTATTAGAAAACGTTCGCAAAAGTTTAAGCGATGATCTGATTGGTTGGATGAAAGATCGTTCTGACGTGACCTGTAAAGGATGTCCTAAGATCTTTGTGTAGCGGTAGGGAGCACTAAGATCTTACTTTTATTGAGATTAAACAAATAGGGAAATGAGAAGCTTGTTCAGCACTTAATTAGACATGTTTAGGTTTATGGTTAAAATGGCTGTATCAGATATATTAAAACCCATATCCAACCTAATATGAAAAATGATGATAAAGACCGTTAATTTGTATTTTTGTTTGTTTTAAAAGTTATAGTATCATTACAGGACAACGATGGCACAAGTTTTAGATTCTCAGATTGATTTTGTGTCAGTGTTTCACAAAAGTCTTTGGGGATGTATTTGTCACATAAGAAAGAAAGATTGGCAATGTTTATGTACAAGAATGAAATGCCACCTCTGTCATAAAATTCCTAGAGAGACTGCTGAGACAACTATATTGACAAAACACCCCCCCCCCCCCCCCCCCTTTTTTAACAACAAAAGTCTATGTAGCTCTTTGAAAAAAAATCTAAATTGCATTGATAAATAAAGTAGCTTACCAAAACCAAAAACGTCCTTGCTTTTGAACAAAATGTATATGAAAGCAATTCATATTTATATAAAAACTTAAATTTCTAAATGCGTGTGAGATTGGATACTTTCTCAAAATAAATAACAAAGCTGTGTACCTTTATAAAAATTTAATGAACCAGTGAACAAAATTATATTTTTATTACTATTTCTTATGTTATAAATCCACAACATTTTCGAGCAGCATAGAGATGTGGATTAATGTCTGTTATTATAACACATTATTATTTATCATAACACAAGAATCAATATGAATAATATCCTCCAAAGTTAATTTCATTGATAAGTATAAAAACGAATCTTTTATTGATTATTCCAAAAGGTGCCTGGAAATAAAGTGATTCCACACAGCACCAATATGGTAAAGTCTGGCATATTTACACTCTACATAATCTAGCTACCATATTCGACGTAATAAGCGCCTTGCTTTGATAAGCGCCCACGTCAATATTTGCTAATATACTGGCTAGTGAACAATCCCAATTAGCACCCCTCCCGATTGATAAATGTACACAAGGCTATTTATTCGTGCATAATACGTTTGTTATATGCACCCTTAATTATGGGCAATTAAATTCTGGAAAAATATATCTGTCGTTTATAAACATTTCAGCATTAACCATGAAATTTACGCTCTTTCAACTCGGTTGTTTTTCACCAAAAAAATATTCTAATAAGAGCCCTCTTATTCTAATTTTGAGAGCGCCCTGGGCGCTTATTATGTCGAATACGGTAACTCAGCTTCTCGACAGATCACTGTTCAGTTTCACAATGTCAAACTTCGCCACACCAGATCAATCCCGAACATAACACAAGTGTTGCTTCTCAGTGGGAGAGAGGAAATAGAGTTTAATCTTGGCTTGGGAATATAACATGTTTATATCCTACAAGAGACCACAAGTTGTATTGGATTTTGGGAATTTCATCATTGGCTTTTGCAGTTGTTACGTGCAGGGTTTGTCTCAGTAGGAGACAAATTAAACCTTAAGGCAGTGGTCGCAAACTTTTCTTTGATGTCTCCTGTCTGGTGTGGAGCGTTGGTTGATATATTTATTAATCATATACTTTATCAAGCCAAATAATCAGATATTTTTTAGAATATAATCCCGGTCAGATTTTGGGATTACATTTGGTACAGTCTCAGGGATTGTTTGTGTTTTATTGAACAAAGAAGGCTATTGATGTGCTGATCAGATTTGGTCATCATTTGCTGCCTTTGATTAATTGGCATAAACATTCTAATTAATCTTAATTAAACTCCAGCTTCTTTGTCTTTGACTGTCAGTTATGGAATTGTTAGTTGGTTGGTTTGTTGTTTAATGCCGCACTCAGCAATATTCCAGCTTAATGACGGCGG